AGGCACTCATGAGGTAGGGAATTCTGTGGAACACAGGTGGGTCGGCATATGTAAACAGGGTTTCCTTAAAAATCAAAAGCGACCTAATTATATTACCACTAACAGGTGGTAGTTCAAACTGGCCGTAGGTTGAATTTATATTTTAACACTATTTTTATTAAAACAGGTTACAAAAATTGAACACAAAACACACACATTCAATTTATGTACACAAAATTATGGTACAAAATTTGACAAATGATATGTACTCTGCATCAGTTCAGTAAACTTGTTGACCCTACCTATGTAGTAGTGTTTCTTCATTTACTATTTTGATTGACGTTTTTGTGCCCATAAGTGCCGATGGTCTAAGCCGATAAGAAGGTTTGCTAGGATCTACCTGGGATCCACAGATGATCCAGTGCTGCATCTTCATCTTAGTTCACTCTTAAAGGACTTAATGACGCAACTGGCAGAGATATTACAGCTTCTGTTAAATATTAGTATTCACTATTAAAAAGTTATGTTAGTTATATAAGATATGTGTTGCATCTTCCTCCTCTTCATTCACTATCAAAAGAGTAGCGTTGGCATGTTGTGTTGTAGTTTAAAACTAGGGTGGATATCTTCACCTTTTAGCCCAACACATCCAATTTCAGCAAACAGCTAATTAGATGCCTTTCAGGACAGAGAGCAGAGGCCCCCCCCCCCCTCCCCCTAATTTGACCAGAAACCGATACATAGATCCGGTTTGTCAAATCAATAACATGTCGACCCATCACAACAGATACAAACATTGACACAAATAAACCATGTCTACCTTCCTCGTTGACGACCACAATCATCCGCTCATGTTTGACATCCACAATCATCCGCTCATGTTTGACATCCACAAAGGGGGAAAAAAACTGAAACAGACCCATCTGCCTCTATACCCCCACAATGAATGACCCTAGGCAACTATGTGGGAGACATCACGTGGAACTATAAGTGATACGTGGAAGTGCACTGAAATAAAACTATTTTCATACACACAATCACCCAAGTGTGTGCAACATCCACACACACACAAAACCCCATGTTCACAGTCCCAATCATTCACTGACTTATGTTTAACACCCATACAAATAACCAGTGTTCACATTCACAATTCACTGACTTATGTTTAACACCCATACAAAAAACCAGTGTTCACATTCACAATTCACTGACTTATGTTTAACACCCATACAAATAACCAGTGTTCACATTCACAATTCACTGACTTGTGTTTAACACCCATACAAATAACCAGTGTTCACATTCACAATTCACTGACTTATGTTTAACGCCCTCACAAACTAACCCATGCCCACACTCCTATAATCACCCAATCTTGTTTACACATGGCATCAAATACAATGAAAGCACTGAAACTTTAGCCAAGGAGGGCAGCAGCAAACCACAAATCTACCAGCCACTATCTGTTCCAGAAGTCAAAACAAACCCTCATGAAGAGAAAAATCAGAAACATTGAGAAACAAAAACAGGTTATAATCATGAGAAATGTTTCATCAATCACCTATACAGAACCGACCAAGTCAGTTTTTCTCTTACACACTGGACACTGCAGACTCAATAAACACTCATATAAATTAGGTATGAGCCAGACAGCTCTCTGCCAGTGTCTTTGTGCCGAACAGACATCAGAACATGTCTTGACAGACTGTCTTCTCTTGGCAGAGCCGCGAAAAGACATGTAGCCACACCCAGTAGAAGTGACAACTAAGCTTTGGGGAAACCTAAGTGACCTTGAGATGACATCTCAGTTTATGGCCCACACTGGATTAAGCACATGACCAAAGACTGCTCAAAGAGTTTACACATGTCCACTCAGCGTATATGAGTGAGCACCACTTACTTTAAGGCATGCAGCCACCACCCAGTAGAAGTGACAACTAAGCTTTGGGGAAGCCTAAGAGACCTTGAGATGACTTATCAGTTTATGGCCCACAGTGGATTAAGCACACAACCAGAGACTGTTGAAAGAGTTTACACATGTCCACTCAGCGTCAATGAGTGAGCACACTTACTTTAAGCATGTAGCCACCACCCAGTAGAAGTGACTAAGCTGGGGAAACCTAAGTGACCTTGAGATGATATATCAGTTTAGGCCCACAGTTAAGCTGTTGAAAGCACATGTCCACTCAGCGTCTATGAATGAGCACCACTTACTTAAGGCATGCAGCCACCACCCAGTAGAAGTGACAACTAAGCTTTGGGGAAGCCGAGACCTTGAGATGACTTATCGTTTATGGTCCACAGTGGATTAGCACACAACCAGAGACTGTTGAAAGAGTTTACACATGTCCACTCAGCGTCTATGAATGAGCACCACTTACTTTAAGGCATGCAGCCACCACCCAGTAGAAGTGACAACTAAGCTTTGGGGAAACCTAAGAGACCTTGAGATGACTTATCAGTTTATGGTCCACAGTGGATTAAGCACATGACCAGAGACTGTTGAAAGAGTTTACACATGTCCACTCAGCGTCTATGAATGAGCACCACTTACTTTAAGGCATGCAGCCACCACCCAGTAGAAGTGACAACTAAGCTTTGGGGAAGCCTAAGAGACCTTGAGATGACTTATCAGTTTATGGTCCACAGTGGATTAAGCACACAACCAGAGACTGTTGAAAGAGTTTACACATGTCCACTCAGCGTCTATGAATGAGCACCACTTACTTTAAGGCATGCAGCCACCACCCAGTAGAAGTGACAACTAAGCTTTGGGGAAACCTAAGAGACCTTGAGATGACTTATCAGTTTATGGTCCACAGTGGATTAAGCACATGACCAGAGACTGTTGAAAGAGTTTACACATGTCCACTCAGCGTCTATGAGTGAGCACCACTTACTTTAAGGCATGCAGCCACACCCAGTAGAAGTGACAACTAAGCTTTAGGGAAACCTAAGAGATCTTGAGATGACTTATCAGTTTATGGCCCACAGTGGATTAAGCACACAACCAGAGACTGTTGAAAGAGTTTACACATGTCCACTCAGCGTCTATGAATGAGCACCACTTACTTTAAGGCATGCAGCCACCACCCAGGGACAACTAAGCTTTGGGGAAACCTAAGAGATCTTGAGATGAATATCAGTTTATGGCCCACAGTGGATTAAGCACACAACCAGAGACTGTTGAAAGAGTTTACACATGTCCACTCAGCGTCTATGAATGAGCACCACTTACTTTAAGGCATGCAGCCACCACCCAGTAGAAGTGACAACTAAGCTTTGGGGAAACCTAAGAGACCTTGAGATGACTTATCAGTTTATGGTCCACAGTGGATTAAGCACATGACCAGAGACTGTTGAAAGAGTTTACACATGTCCACTCAGCGTCTATGAATGAGCACCACTTACTTTAAGGCATGCAGCCACCACCCAGTAGAAGTGACAACTAAGCTTTGGGGAAGCTAAGAGACCTTGAGATGACTTATCAGTTTATGGTCCACAGTGGATTAAGCACACAACCAGAGACTGTTGAAAGAGTTTACACATGTCCACTCAGCGTCTATGAATGAGCACCACTTACTCTAAGGCATGCAGCCACCATAGAAGTGACAACTAAGCTTTGGGGAAACCTAAGAGACCTTGAGATGACTTATCAGTTTATGGTCCACAGTGGATTAAGCACATGACCAGAGACTGTTGAAAGAGTTTACACATGTCCACTCAGCGTCTATGAGTGAGCACCACTTACTTTAAGGCATGCAGCCACACCCAGTAGAAGTGACAACTAAGCTTTAGGGAAACCTAAGAGATCTTGAGATGACTTATCAGTTTATGGCCCACAGTGGATTAAGCACATGACCAGAGACTGTTGAAAGAGTTTACACATGTCCACTCAGCGTCTATAATGAGCACACTTACTTTAGGCATGCAGCCACCACCCAGTAGAAGTGACAACTAAGCTTTGCCTAAGAGACCTTGAGATGACTTATCAGTTTATGGTCCACAGTGGATTAAGCACATGACCAGAGACTGTTGAAAGAGTTTACACATGTCCACTCAGCGTCTATGAATGAGAACCACTTACTTGAAGCCAGCCTTTTTCTTCTCCTCCTGAAGACACTTGTCCAGAATCTCCCGTTTGCCGCCGTCCGAGTCCCGGTAGTATTTGAAGGCCATGATCTCTCTGGCCGTGGCCGCCATGGGCTGGATAAAGCGGGCCACAATCTCATCAAGATCTTCGTACTCCTGCCAAAAACAGATAGTACTGGGGTCATGTCCAAGACAGAATATGCAGGGGCTGTTACCAAGACAGAACATACGGGCGTCTCATTTACAAGACAGAACATGCTAGAGTCATTTTTTAAGACAGAATATGTTGAGGTCATTACCGAGATAGAACATACTAGGGTCATTACCAAGGCAGAATATGCTGGGGCTATTATCAAGACAGAATATGTTAAGGTCATTACCGAGATAGAACATACTAGGGTCATTACCAAGGCAGAATAAGACTGGGGCTATTATCAAGACAGAATATGTTGAAGCTATTTCCAAGATAGAATATGTTGGGGGTCATTACAGGGATAGAATAGGTTGGGGTCCTCTACCAAGACAGAACATGTTGGGGTCATTTTTTAAGACAGAACATAGTAGGGTCATTACCAAGGCAGAACATACCAGGTTCATTACCAAGGCAGAACATACAGGGGTCATTTCCAAGATAAAATATGTTGAGTCACTACAGAAACAGAACATGTATTTAGATCTGGCTTATTTGTATCCAGATCTGGCTTATATGTATCCAGATAGACAGCTTATTTTAACTATATCTGGCTTAATTGTATATTCTGGCTTATTTGTATCCAGATCTGGCTTATTTGTATCCAGATCTGGCTTACTGCATCTGTCAAATGTACACACAACATTCAGGATGAGAGGCAAACGGCCTGATCACTCCATCATGGAGACAGACAACTTGAAGCATAAAATCTAGTTTTATGTGAGTCGTGGACTATCTTATAGTCACTAAAGAAAAAAATAGGGGCTGCTGAGTTAAAACGCTACAAAACAATTCTCAGAATACCATTTACAAAAAATAAAAGAAATAATGACCTCCTAAAAGATCTAAACTAAAAAAAAAAAAATGTAACCTTTAAACAGCACCTTATCCCGGAAATTGAAATACTGTGACCTGGTACCAGAAAAGAGGGGCAGGGGCCGACCAGCATAAAGATGGACACAGGTCATAAGTGACACTTTGGGTAGGTCACTGCATGAGATGGGACAACTGGTGAAAAGACTGAGTTTCTTTCAGGCAGACTGTGATGAGTAACTCTACAAAAAAATCAGCTACATAATGATGATGATGAGTTATATGGCTTTCCTAAAACAGATAACAGAAGTCAACTGTACCTCTCCGGCAATCCACAAAGACTTGCCCAGACTGAAAGCATTCTCCTTGCCCTCCTCACGGATGTCGATGTGCTGCAAGATGTTGTCTGCTACCTTCCAGGTGGCTGTCAGGTGGTCGGAACCCTGCAAACATAATAAAACTCAGGTGAGAATCCATGTGGTATTTTGAGGGTCAGCCTGAAGAACATTCAAACATGGTGCGTTCTTAGTGAAACCCAGAAGAAAAAAATATTTTAAAATATTCCTGTATCAACTCAAAAGATGTCAGTCAAGAAACTCTCCAGGAAGTTAACCTGGTGAACAAATGCTAAGTCAAATGTGTTAGTCGAAAGGTGGAAATATCACACCTTTGCTGTAAATAGGCACAAGCAGCAGGACAACAGACAGAGGAAACTACATCTCTCTCTGTGACACTTTACAGCACAAGAAGCAGGACAACAGACAGGAAACTACATCTCTCTCTGTGACACTTTACAGCACAAGAAGCAGGACAACAGACAGGAAACTACATCTCTCTCTGTGACACTTTACAGCACAAGCAGTAGGACAACAGACAGGAAACTACATCTCTTTCTGTGACACTTTACAGCACAAATAGTATGACAAAAGACAGGAAACTACATCTCTCTCTCTGTGACACTTTACAGCACAAGCAGTAGGACAAAAGACAGGAAACTACATCTCTCTTTGTGACACTTTACAGCACAAGAAGCAGGACAACAGACAGGAAACTACATCTCTCTCTGTGACACTTTACAGCACAAGAAGCAGGACAACAGACAGGAAACTACATCTCTCTCTGTGACACTTTACAGCACAAGCAGTAGGACAACAGACAGGAAACTACATCTCTCTCTGTGACACTTTACAGCACAAGCAGTAGGACAAAAGACAGGAAACTACATCTCTCTCTGTGACACTTTACAGCACAAGAAGCAGGACAACAGACAGGAAACTACATCTCTCTCTGTGACACTTTACAGCACAAGAAGCAGGACAACAGACAGGAAACTACATCTCTCTGTGTGACACTTTACAGCACAAGCAGTAGGACGACAGGAAACTACATCTCTTTCTGTGACACTTTACAGCACAAATAGTATGACAAAAGACAGGAAACTACATCTCTCTCTCTCTGTGACACTTTACAGCACAAGCAGTAGGACAAAAGACAGGAAACTACATCTCTCTTTGTGACACTTTACAGCACAAGAAGCAGGACAACAGACAGGAAACTACATCTCTCTCTGTGACACTTTACAGCACAAGAAGCAGGACAACAGACAGGAAACTACATCTCTCTCTCTCTCTCTGTGACACTTTACAGCACAAGCAGTAGGACAAAAGACAGAAAACTACATCTAACTCCTCTCTGTGACACTTTACAACACAAGCAGTAGGACAAAAGGCAGGAAACTACATCTCTCTCTGTGACACTTTACAGCACAAGAAGTAGGACAAAAGACAGGAAACTACATCTCTTTCTGTGACACTTTACAGCACAAGCAGTAGGACAAAAGACAGGAAACTACATCTCTCTCTCTGTGACACTTTACAACACAAGCAGTAGGACAACAAACAGGAAACTACATCTCTCTTTGTGACACTTTACAGCACAAGCAGTAGGACAAAAGACAGGAAACTACATCTCTCTCTGTGACACTTTACAGCACAAGCAGTAGGACAACAGACAGGAAACTACATCTCTCTCTGTGACACTTTACAGCACAAATAGTAGGACAAAAGACAGGAAACTACATCTCTTTCTGTGACACTTTACAGCACAAGCAGTAGGACAACAGACAGCAAACTACATCTCTTTCTGTGACACTTTACAAGACAAGCAGTAGGACAACAGACAGGAAACTACATCTCTCTCTCTGTGACACTTTACAGCACAAGCAGTAGGACAAAAGACAGGATACTACATCTAACTCCTCTCTGTGACACTTTACAAGTCAAGCAGTAGGACAACAGACAGGAAACTATAATAAACTCCACTCTGCGAGGTTCTAAGGCATAAATGAAGAAGAAGAAGAAGACAGCAAACAACAAAGGAGGTACCTTGCTACTTGGACGTATGATGACATCACCCTGGTCCATGTTGGCCAACAGTTTCTCACACTCCTTGTAGCTGACGTTGTGGAAGTACGGGTGGGCAATCACACGCTTGATGTAAGCTGGGGAGGTAATCAAGTGCACCTCATTATCTCAACAATCAGTATCTCCACATGTGTCGCTACAGATTCTGTGACATCTCAACAATCAGTATCTCCACATGTGTTGCTACAGATTCTGTGACATCTCAACAATCAGTATCTCAACATGTGTTGCTACAGATTCTGTGACATCTCAACAATCAGTATCTCCACATGTGTTGCTACAGATTCTGTGACATCTCAACAATCAGTATCTGAACATGTGTTGCTACAGATTCTGTGACGTCTCAACAATCAGTATCTCAACATGTGTTGCTACAGATTCTGTGACATCTCAACAATCAGTATCTCCACATGTGTTGCTACAGATTCTGTGACATCTCAACAATCAGTATCTCAACATGTGTCGCTACAGATTCTGTGACATCTCAACAATCAGTATCTGAACATGTGTCGCTACAGATTCTGTGACGTTTCAACAATCAGTATCTGAACATGTGTCGCTACAGATTCTGTGACATCTCAACAATCACTATCTCCACATGTGTCGCTACAGATTCTGTGACATCTCAACAATCAGTATCTCCACATGTGTTGCTACAGATTCTGTGACGTCTCAACAATCACTATCTCCACATGTGTCGCTACAGATTCTGTGACATCTCAACAATCAGTATCTCCACATGTGTTGCTACAGATTCTGTGACGTCTCAACAATCACTATCTCCACATGTGTCGCTACAGATTCTGTGACGTCTCAACAATCAGTATCTCCACATGTGTTGCTACAGATTCTGTGACGTCTCAACAATCAGTATCTGAACATGTGTCGCTACAGATTCTGTGACGTCTCAACAATCAGTATCTCCACATGTGTTGCTACAGATTCTGTGACGTCTCAACAATCAGTATCTGAACATGTGTCGCTACAGATTCTGTGACGTCTCAACAATCAGTATCTGAACATGTGTCGCTACAGATTCTGTGACGTCTCAACAATCAGTATCTCCACATGTGTTGCTACAGATTCTGTGACGTCTCAACAATCAGTATTTGAACATGTGTCGCTACAGATTCTGTGACGTCTCAACAATCAGTATCTGAACATGTGTCGCTACAGATTCTGTGACGTCTCAACAATCACTATCTCCACATGTGTCGCTACAGATTCTGTGACATCTCAACAATCAGTATCTGAACATGTGTTGCTACAGATTCTGTGACGTCTCAACAATCAGCATCTCCACATGTGTTGCTACAGATTCTGTGACATCTCAACAATCAGTATCTGAACATGTGTCGCTACAGATTCTGTGACGTTTCAACAATCGGTATCTCAACATGTGTCGCTACAGATTCTGTAACGTCTCAACAGTCAGTATCTCAACATGTGTCGCTACAGATTCTGTGACGTCTCAACAATCAGTATCTCCACATGTACTGCTACAGATTCTGTGACGTCTCAACAGTCAGTATCTCAACATATGTTGCTACAGATTCTGTGACGTCTCAACCATCAGTATCTGAACATGTGTCGCTACAGATTCTGTCACATGTCAACAATCAGTATCTCAATGTGTCGATATACATTTACTGACATTTCTGACACAGGCATCAGTATCCCAATGTGTGATTATAGATTCAATTGCATCATTTTCAACTGTACAGACTCTCAAAAGTCTAAAGAAAAGTTAGTTGCGTATCCTTTACAGGACATTGCAGAACACCAACACCAGCATTTTTTGGCTGGTGCGGTTTTTGAAGGCAAGTAACTTACATTCAGTATTTTGCCACTGCCCTCTGAATGGTTGGCTCTCTGTACCAATGTCAAAACCAACACAAGGCAACGGCTGCCAAATCACCTGCAGCTGCAATAGTCCAACTAAATAAAACATTGTCACATTCGCACTCAAAGTCACCCCCCCCCCCCCCCCCCCCGAACAAAATAAAGCATTATCTATGAAATAAAAGCAGAATGATGCCACAAGAACAGATCTAGTCCAGCAGTGAATTTCAGGCCATGAGCGTATCCCTAGAAATGGAGAGACAGGTGAGACCATGACGGCGACTCAGAGCTTCCAAATGTAGTTTTCAAACAGTCTAAGAAGCAAACTAGGGAGAAGACCAGAAATATTACAGATCAAGGATGTTTAATGATAGGGGAAGAAAAAAAGATAAAACACAAAACTGTTATTGTATCATCATGTTGTTTTTTTTTCCGGCTTACAGAAAGAAAATTTCAAAAGGATAGAGTGGAGAACCCGATGACAACTGGTAGAGTGGAGAACTTGGTGACAACCAGTAGAGTGGAGAACTTGGTGACAACTGGTAGAGTGGAGAACTTGGTGACAACTGGTAGAGTGGAGAACTTGGTGACAACCGGTAGAGTGGATAACTTGGTGACAACTGGTAGAGTGGAGAACTTGGTGACAAATGGTAGAGTGGAGAACTTGGTGACAACTGGTAGAGTGGAGAACTTGGTGACAACCGTAGAGTGGAGAATTTGGTGACAACTGGTAGAATGGAGAACTTGGTGACAACTGGTAGAATGGAGAACTTGGTGACAACCGTAGAGTGGAGAATTTGGTGACAACTGGTAGAGTAGAGAACTTGATGACATCTGGTAGAGTAGAGAATTTGGTGACAACTGGTAGAGTAGAGAACTTGGTGACAACTGGTAGAGTAGAGAATTTGGTGACAACTGGTAGAGTAGAGAACTTGGTGACAACTGGTAGAGTGGAGAACTTGGTGACAACTGGTAGAATGGAGAACTTGGTGACAACTGGTAGAATGGAGAACTTGGTGACAACTGGTAGAGTAGAGAACTTGGTGACAACTGGTAGAGTAGAGAACTTGGTGACAACTGGTAGAGTAGAGAACTTGGTGACAACTGGTAGAGTAGAGAACTTGGTGACATCTGGTAGAGTTGAGAACTTGATGACAACTGGTAGAGTAGAGAACTTGGTGACATCTGGTAGAGTTGAGAACTTGATGACAACTGGTAGAGTAGAGAACTTGGTGACAACCGTAGAGTGGAGAATTTGGTGACAACTGGTAGAGTAGAGAACTTGGTGACAACTGGTAGAGTAGAGAACTTGGTGACATCTGGTAGAGTTGAGAACTTGATGACAACTGGTAGAGTAGAGAACTTGGTGACATCTGGTAGAGTTGAGAACTTGATGACAACTGGTAGAGTAGAGAACTTGGTGACAACCGTAGAGTGGAGAACTTGGTGACAACTGGTAGAGTAGATAACTTGGTGACAACTGGTAGAGTAGAGAACTTGGTGACAACTGGTAGAGTAGATAACTTGATGACAACTGGTAGAGTAGAGAACTTGGTGACAACTGGTAGAGTAGAGAACTTGGTGACAACTGGTAGAGTAGAGAACTTGATGACAACTGGTAGAGTAGATAACTTGATGACAACTGGTAGAGTAGAGAACTTGGTGACAACTGGTAGAGTAGAGAACTTGGTGACAACTGGTAGAGTTGAGAACTTGGTGACAACTGGTAGAGTAGAGAACTTGGTGACAACTGGTAGAGTAGAGAACTTGATGACAACTGGTAGAATGGAGAACTTGGTGACAACTGGTAGAGTAGAGAACTTGGTGACAACTGGTAGAGTAGAGAACTTGGTGACAACTGGTAGAGTAGAGAACTTGGTGACAACTGGTAGAGTAGAGAACTTGGTGACAACTGGTAGAGTAGAGAACTTGGTGACAACTGGTGGTAGAGTAGAGAACTTGGTGACAACTGGTAGAGTAGAGAACTTGGTGACAACTGGTAGAGTAGAGAACTTGGTGACAACTGGTAGAGTAGAGAACTTGGTGACAACTGGTAGAGTAGAGAACTTGGTGACAACTGGTAGAGTAGAGAACTTGGTGACAACTGGTAGAGTAGAGAACTTGGTGACAACTGGTAGAGTAGAGAACTTGGTGACAACTGGTAGAATGGAGAACTTGGTGACAACTGGTAGAGTAGAGAACTTGGTGACAACTGGTAGAGTAGAGAACTTGGTGACAACTGGTAGAGTAGAGAACTTGGTGACAACTGGTAGAGTAGAGAACTTGGTGACAACTGGTAGAGTAGAGAACTTGGTGACAACTGGTAGAGTAGAGAGAACTGGTAGAATGACAACTGGTAGAGTAGAGAACTTGGTGACAACTGGTAGAGTAGAGAACTTGAGTGACAACTGGTAGAGTAGAGAACTTGGTGACAACTGGTAGAGTGAGAACTTGGTGACAACTGGTAGAGTATGGAGAACTTGGTGACAACTGGTAGAGTAGAGAACTTGGTGACAAACTGGTAGAGTAGAGAACTTGGTGACAACTGGTGAGAATGGAGAAGAGAAACTTGGTGACACAACTGGTAGAGTAGAGAACTTGGTGACAACTGGTAGAGTAGAGAACTTGGTGACAAACTGGTAGAGTAGAGAACTTGGTGACAACTGGTAGAGTTGAGAACTTGATGACAACTGGGCAGAGTAGAGAACTTGGTGACATCTGGTAGAGTTGAGAACTTGATGACAACTGGTAGAGTAGAGAACTTGGTGACATCTGGTAGAGTTGAGAACTTGATGACAACTGGTAGAGTAGAGAACTTGGTGACATCTGGTAGAATGGAGAACTTGGTGACAACTGGTAGAGTAGAGAACTTGGTGACAACTGGTAGAGTAGAGAACTTGGTGACAACTGGTAGAGTAGAGAACTAGAGATGGTGACAACTGGTAGAGTAGAGAATTTGATGACAACTGGTAGAGTAGAGTAGAGAACTTGAGTGACAACTGGTAGAGTTGAGAACTTGATGACAACTGGTAGAGTAGAGAACTTGGTGACATCTGGTAGAATGGAGAACTTGGTGACAACTGGTAGAGTAGAGAACTTGGTGACAACTGGTAGAGTAGAGAACTTGGTGACAACTGGTAGAGTAGAGAACTTGGTGACATCTGGTAGAGTTGAGAACTTGATGACAACTGGTAGAGTAGAGAACTTGGTGACATCTGGTAGAGTTGAGAAACTTGATGACAACGACAAGGAACTTGTGAGGTAGTTGAGAACTTGATGACAAACTGGTAGAGTAGAGAACTTGGTGACAACTGGTAGAGTGGAGAATTTGGTGACAACTGGTAGAGTAGAGAACTTGATGACAACTGGTAGAGTAGAGAACTTGGTGACAACTGGTAGTAGTAGTTGAGAACTTGAGTGACAACTGGTAGAGTAGAGAACTTGGTGACAACTGGTAGAGTTGAGAACTTGATGACAACTGGTAGAGTAGAGAACTTGGTGACATCTGGTAGAGTTGAGAACTTGATGACAACTGGTAGAGTAGAGAACTTGGTGACATCTGGTAGAATGGAGAACTTGGTGACAACTGGTAGAGTAGAGAACTTGGTGACAACTGGTAGAGTAGAGAACTTGGTGACAACTGGTAGAGTAGAGAACTTGATGACAACTGGTAGAGTAGAGAACTTGGTGACAACTGGTAGAGTAGAGAACTTGGTGACAACTGGTAGAGTAGAGAACTTGGTGACAACTGGTAGAGTTGAGAACTTGATGACAACTGGTAGAGTAGAGAACTTGGTGACAACTGGTAGAGTAGAGAACTTGGTGACAACTGGTAGAGTAGAGAACTTGGTGACAACTGGTAGAGTAGAGAACTTGGTGACAACTGGTAGAGTAGAGAACTTGATGACAAACTGTAGAGTTGAGAACTTGATGACAACTGGTAGAGTTGAGAACTTGGTGACAACTGGTAGAGTAGAGAACTTGATGACAACTGGTAGAGTAGAGAACTTGGTGACAACTGGTAGAGTAGAGAACTTGGTGACAACTGGTAGAGTAGAGAACTTGGTGACAACTGGTAGAGTAGAGAACTTGGTGACAACTGGTAGAGTAGAGAACTTGGTGACAACTGGTAGAGTTGAGAACTTGATGACAACTGGTAGAGTTGAGAACTTGGTGACAACTGGTAGAGTAGAGAACTTGGTGACAACTGGTAGAGTAGAGAACTTGATGACAACTGGTAGAGTAGAGAACTTGGTGACAACTGGTAGGGTAGAGTAGAGAACTTGATGACAACTGTTAGGTTAAGGAACTTTGTGACAACTGGTAGAGTAGAGAACATTGGTGACAACTGGTAGAGTAGAGAACTTGGATGACAACTAGAGTATAGAATTTGATTACAACTGAGAGTAGAGAACTTGGTGACAACTGGTAGAGTAGAGAAACTTGGTGACATCTGGTGCATGGGTAGAGGTTATAAGAACTTGATGACAACTGGTAGAGTAGAGAACTTGATGACAACTGTGTAGTAGAGAACTTGGTGACATCTGGTAGAGTAGAGAACTTGGTGTAGAGTAGAACTGGTAGAGTAGAGAACTTGGTGACAACTGGGAGAGTAGAGAACTTGGTAGAGTATAGAACTGATGACAACTTGGTATAGTAGAGAACTTGATGACAACTGGTAGAGTTGAGAACTTGGTGACATCTTGTAGAGTTCGGACTGGTAGAGTTGAGAACTTGGTGACACTGGTAGAGTCTAGAACTTGGTGCCATCTGGTAGAGTTGAACTGGTGACAACTGTGGTGACAACTTGGTTGACAACTGGTAGAGTAGAAACTTGGTGACAACTGGTCGAGTAGAGAACTTGATGACAACTGGTAGAGTTGAGAACTTGGTGACAACTGGTATAGAGTAGAGAACTTGGTGACAACTGGTAGAGTAGAGAACTTGGTGACAACGGTGGTATTAGTAGAGAACTTGATGACAACTGGTAGAGTAGAGAACTTGGTGACAACTGGTAGAGTAGAGAACTTGGTGACAACTGGTAGAGTAGAGAACTTGGTGACAACTGGTAGAGTTGAGAACTTGATGACAACTGGTAGAGTAGAGAACTGGTGACAAACTGGTAGAGTAGAGAACTTGGTGACAAACTGGTTAGAGTAGAGAACTTGGTGACAACTGGTAGAGTAGAGACAACTGGGGGGGTGGAGTAGAGAACTTGGTGACAACTGGTAGATAGAGTTGAGAACCTGATGACAACTGGTAGAGTTGAGAACTTGATGACAACTGGTAGAGTAGAGAACTTGGTGACAACCGTAGAGTGGAGAACTTGGTGACAACTGGCCAGTTTGGTAGAAAGAAGGCAGGGAAAAGAGATAAATATCTTGAGGGCTTGACCATATGCACACGAGAACACTGACCTGATCCGCTATTATACTGATGGTGTAGGATGGCGAATCATGACCACATATGATTACCAGCACAGCACATCATGATGATATTTTTAAGGATAGGGTGAATGCTAAGCATTATTTTCTTTCACTGTAAAAGGGGCAGTGAGCAGCAACAACAACAAAATTTTTGGAAATACTGGTGTAAAGTTGACATACACTGGGTGAGACAAGAATCACCAACAAACAGAAACAACCTACTCTGACGAGCCTGCAGTTTCTTCTTGTCAGCTTCTTTGTCCATGTCTGACTTCTCTGTGTCGTAATCATAGTAGACGTCCTTCTGCGGTCTGTGGAGAGTTTCAAACATCATTTGTAACCGCATGAAGATGTCACCCAACCCTCTACATTTTTTTTTTGGGTGGCCTGCTCTGCATTAACATTTCTTTATCTGTCTGTGCTAATTTTTCATCTTTTAATGTGGCTGAAGTATTTCAATTGGTCTCTTTTTTTTATTTCTTTCAGTAAATGTCTTTTTGATTTGTAGTCTTCCCAGAACCTCTGTTTTTGTTTCCATGAAGTACGACCTATTCTTCTGTATACCCACATTTCCACAATTCAATTTTCTAGCTGCTTTATTTTTAATTATTCAAGTTTCTGCAGGATAGAGCATACATAAAATTTGATGACTCTGAGTTTGTTGTTTATCTCTCTTGCTGTCAGTAATTTGAGCATCTTATTGAAGAGAGGTTTAGCTGTTCCTATTATGTTTATGATTTGTTTCACGTCTTCCATCATCTGTTACTACGTGTCCCAGATAGGAGAAACTTATTACTTGTTCCAATCTCTCTCCATTTACTGTGATATTCCCTGATTTACCTGCCAACTTTCCTCAGCTCCGATTAAGATAAGGTAGAACAGATATCACAGTTCCCATTAAGCTCTGTTATGTTTTTATTATTGTTAAATATTAATTTAAAATTGGCTTGACAATTAACTTTCAAAATTGCTCAGCCATCTTGCACACAACCCCCCCCCCCCCAAAAAGGTCCACCCCCCAACCAAGGTGGAAAACCACTGCCTACAGACATCTGCCTGCCTGTTATCCACACAAACAACCCACCAGCAACAAGGCCTCCACAAAGTCAACCTACCTCCACACGCCATCTTTGTCGGCCACAAAGTCAACCTACCTCCACATGCCATCTTTGTCCGCCAAGTCTGAGGACTTGCTGGTCAGCTCCACCTGGAACCTTTCTATGTCAATCTTGGTGATCCGGCAGTGGATTGTCATGCCAATCTGTCAGTGACAACATGATTTAGTGAGAGTTAATGTGACATATTGTACCAGTTACAACATTGCAATCAATTTGGAAAGAAAAAAGCCAGAAAAAAAGGTAAAAGGCAAGGAGTGATTTCTTTGAACCAGGTTAATTTTTATAGCTATATTGCCTAGAGAAGCCTAAATCACTTCTGGTTGTGCTATATCTCCACAAATGTCAATATATGGCCATGTCTAACCAGTTATTGTAACGCATAATTAAATTCCATCGGTCCAATATGTTTTTTGTACTGTATAACAAGGACAGTATATGAATATCATAACTAAAAATAGCATTCCGATTCCAATTTGATAAACAAAAATTCCAAACTTGATCCTTTTACAGCCGCCAGAAGGCCTGCTTTATGAAGGAAGGTTCCTTGGCGATCTTATTTGGTGTCCCTTTATTTGTGGTGTTACACCTGACACTCCTTTTCTTTGTCTTCCTGAGTCCTAAACCCAGTGTGGAATTTGGGGGTTCTGGGTCCTGGTCGGGTCCGGCTCTCTTTAAACTCCTATCTCTGTGAGTTTTTGCTGACTGTTGCTGGTGCTTGGTTTAACCCATGCCGGTTGCTGCGCTAGTGCACTCAAAAAATAGCACTTACAGGGGTTTCCTTATGACCTTGATGGCTTTTTGTTGATGTCTAATTTTCTCATAAGCCTCAATGATATGGCATTAGTCACATGACACATTTTAGTTTTTAGCCCCTGGGGAATTTATTCCATTGAATGCTTCACTTTGTTCGTATTTATTATTACCCCTTAATATATCTTTATATGTATATATCAAATCAATATCTTCATATGTTTAGAATAAAATACAAATGTATATAAGATTTTTTTTTTAAATGATTTGTGACCTATTGAATATTTTTTAAAGGATTTTTCCCTACAGGATCATGACCCAGTTTGTTTAGTATTTAAATGGTGAAAATGTTATAATACTTTAAGTCTAAGTTTTAATCCACAGAATGGTTTACTGCTCATTAGGCATGTTGCACAAAAGATCAACTCTACACTGCCAGCTATAACCCCCAGGGATCTCAGTAAAAAAAATTGCATTCATAAAGACAAAAATAAAACTCCCAATCTGTGCAGCATAAGTCCAGTGTTGTAACCATTTAACCAAGGAGATTCGCAAAGAAACAAAGAAGGACAGAAAGAAAGACAAAGAATATATTGGAGAAGAGGTCCTCTCCAACAGAAATTCATCAAGTGAAATGTGACTGTAGTTAGTTTTTCTGTGGTTTTTTTTTTATACTAGTCTATTGCAGTCACCTCTGCTTTTATAAACTTTCTAATAGATGAGAAATAAATAAATAAATAAATAAATAAATAATAAATAAATAAATAAAAAATAAATAAATAAATAAAATAAATAAATAAATAAATAAATAAATAAATAAAGAATAAAGAAAGAAATAAATAAAGAAAAAAGAAAAGAGAAGAAAGAAAGAAAGAAAGAAAGAAAGAAAGAAAGAAAGAAAGAAAGAAAGAAAGAAAGAAAGAAAGAAAGAAAGAAAGAAAGAAAGAAAGAAAGAAAAGAAAGAAAGAAAGAAAAAAAGAAAAAAAAAGGAAAAGCGAAAAAAGAGTATAGTGGTGAAGAGCTTGCACTCTTCCATAGACCAATTATGACAGAAGGGAAGGAAGAAAGAACAAAAAGCAAAGAAAGAAAAGAACAAATTGGAAAGAAACATTTTTGAGAAGAGCTTGCATTCTCCCCCAGAGCAAAAAAGAAAGACAAACAGACAAAAAGTAGACTGGAGAAAAGGTCTCGCAGATGAAACAGACACACTGACTCACCTGGACCCTTTCCTCTGGATCTTTGACTTGGCGGTCACTCAGGTTCTTGACATGGATGAAACCGGTCACCCCACTGTCCAGGCGACACTTGACCCCAACAGCTGCACCAGGACAGTTACCCCCATCAAAGTGACTCCACACCTGGACAAACAAATTGTTGGTAGACAGTTACACAACAAACAGACTGACAGATACACAACACACAGACTGACAGACACAAACAGACAACACACAGATGGACAGACACAACACACAGACTGACAGACACAGACAGACAACACACAGATGGACAGACACAACACACAGACTGACAGACACAAACGCACAAACAAACAACACACAGATGGACAGACACAACACACAGACTGATGGATACAAACACACAGACTGAAAGAGAGACAACACACAGACAGACACAAACACACAGACTGACAGACAGACAGACACAAACACACAGACAGACAGACAGACAGACACAAACACACATACTGAAAGACAGACAACACACAGACTGACAGACAGACAACACACAGATTGACAGACACAAACACACAGACTGGCAGACACACAACACACACAGACTGACAGACAGACACACAACACACACAGACTGACAGACAAACAAACAGATGACAGACACAAACACACAAACTGACAGGACTGACAACACCAAACAACACGGACTGACAGACACACACACACTGACTGACAGGACACAAACACACAGACTGACAGACAGACAACACACAGACAGACAGACAGACACA